TTTTCCCTAAACAGTTCGAAAAAATAAAAATAATCCAGGATGCTTCTCCAGGAGACTACTTTATTCTACGACAATATTTTTCCCGGAATTCTATAGCATAAAAAAAACTGTTATTTCCGGTCTCTGATCTTATACTTAAATAGTTTTCACTCTCCCAAATCATTCCAGTGAACTTATAGTCACCACCATATAACCAGTGGCTCATAAGTTTTGCCGTTGTTAAAAGAATTTCCGGCTTATTGTTACGAAAAAAGGATTCTGTGCTTTGGGCTCTTCGAGCTTAACGCATTTTAAGTTGTTGGTAGGTAATATCCCTAAAATGACAATTTTGTGATGAGAATTTTTTTATGCGAATTTTCTTAGGTAATAAAGTTCAATCTTTTTTCATTGAGTGTAGCTATCACAAAGCTGTACGCGACGCTTGAGGCGCTATCCAATGTTCAATAGCATCAATCAAGGGTAAATCAGATTGTCAAAATTGTTTTGGTTCCTTCGTCAATCGCTAACCAGCTACCGCCTTTTCATTCTAAGTACATAAATATGTATGTAGTACCTATGTAGTATGTACATATGTATGCTACCCGTTTGTTTCTATGTACATACAATAAGTATTTCAAACTTTGCTAACAGTATTCGTTAGAACCGAAACTAAAAAAAAAGAATAAAATAAGTTGAAATAGTGTTTGCGAATGTATGCTGGCAATTGGCAATTCAGAGCAAAGGACAGCGCGCGACAAAACTCAACCAGAGTTAAAAATTGTATGAACAGTGCAGATACTCGTATACGGAAAGAACCCTCGCGACTTGCCATATGCTTAGGCCATTGGCGTTGGAGTAGTCGCCAATACNTGTTTTGGTTCCTTCGTCAATCGCTAACCAGCTACCGCCTTTTCATTCTAGGTACATAAATATGTATGTAGTACCTATGTAGTATGTACCCGTTTGTTTTTATCTACATACAATAAGTATTTCAAACTTTGCTAACAGTATTCGTTAGAACCGAAATTAAAAAAAAGAATAAAATAAGTTGAAATAGTGTTTGCGAATGTATGCTGGCAATTGGCAATTCAGAGTGAAAGGACAGCGCGCGACAAAACTCAATCAAAGTTAAAAATTGTATGAACAGTGCAAATACTCGTATACGGAAAGAACCCTCGCGACTTGCCATATGCTTAGGCCATTGGCGTTGGAGTAGTCGCTTACTTTACTTAATGCAGAACGCTAACATTTTCGCTTACACTTTTCACTTTGATATTTCATTCTCCACCCGCTGCTTTTGAATGTGGGCAATGCAATTTCTATAATGGCACTTAAGCAAAAGTAAAGCAGCAAACGAATGTAAAAAGCTTAAAAAAAAAAACAAAAAAAAAAGAATTGCAAAGAAATTAATTCTGTGCAACTATTGCCGCTTGCATGCAAACCACTTCCTTCCGTTTCTATCACTTGCATTCTTTCTCCTATGCTAAGCACTACAAGCTGAAGAACCAGCAATCAATCCGCCACTTGAGCGTGTTCACTCTGCTGTGGAGCGTTATAGGCGAGCATCTTTCTTTAGAATTACGCTTATATACAAAGAATGAAATAGAACAAAGAAAATCATAGTAATACAAATACAAGAAGAGAAAACCAGAAGAAAAAACAAACAAATAGTATTGCAATACGAAATTGCAATTGCAGAAAGTTGAGTTGAGCGAAAGAAAAACAAAAGAAATAATGTTGGATTTTTGTGTTTAATTTTTTTCTTTTTTTTTTTGTTCTCTTGCCAGAACATGTGGCTGTGTTAACAATAGAGAAAAATCGCTTGAGTTTATTTTTTGTCTCCTAGCAGTGTATTCGTTCACAGTTGCAAAACAATCTTTTTCAATTTCTTGTTTAATTTTGTTATTGTTTCGGTATTTGATTTTACCGCTTTTACATAGTTATATGCAGCTTTAGCTTTACATACATATGTAGATAAAGCCGATGTTATGATAAATCTTGCCGGCATATGTATGACAATGCAAATAGAGCGAAAGTAGGGAAGGGGCTATGAGCGGGTGAAAAGGGGTTGGTTTCGTAGCTTGTAAAGGATGCAAATTTCTTAGGTAAATAAATGCTAAGAATAATGCAAAATGAAATTGTAGATTTGAGTTGTTCAAGTTGAATTATATATTTGAATGCGAAAAAAATAATTTATTATATATAGAAAGTTGTTTTTTTTGTTTCCTCTTTATTGATGTGTGTGCAAATGCAGCATTGTATAAGGGTGCACTCAGCAGCAAAACTACAAATAAAGCTTTATGCTAAAAAGTTATGTAGTGTTTTATGCTTAGTAAATTTTAGAGCCCAAAAAAAAGGGTATTTAATATTCCTCAAAATTAGTTTTCCATATTTATTCTAGTATAAATATTGAAGGCACACACAAAAAATTCGAATTTTTTTATTTTGTGAATAATTTCGTTGACGATATTTTTTCAAAATAAGCGCATGGTGTTAATTTTTAAACAATTAAATATTAAACATATAAACACCACCTCGGTTGGTTGGTTTAAGCGGAGTGTTCCGGGACCCATATTAAGGTAATTTCGTATTGATCAGAAATATAGGGAATTCCATGCGGGTTTTTCGGTAATTGCAAGTTTAAAGTACCTTAGACGTACCGCAGATTTTTGGAATTTTTTTTTTGTTGAAGGTTTCGTTCAGTTTTTTCCATATTTTCGTTCCACACGTTGTATGGAAGAAAATGGCTGACTCCGAACCAAAAAAAGGGATTTTTTCATTTGTTTATTAAAAAAAAGCGGAATAAACAATTTTAACTAAAAATTCTTATTTACGTGTTCGCCTGTTGAAAAATGAAGATCGAGGGCTAAAATTTTGGAATTTTAGTTTTTTTTTGTTTTATGAAAGCCGAAAGGAAAAATAAACCATTCGTTTTATTTGAAAGAGGCTAATGTGTTGGATACCGCGGGTAAACTCCTGGAGAAACTCGAGAGAGGTCGCCTCCTCTCGGAACTCGAAGATGCCGAAAACCTCTCAAATATACTGTTTGGATTCCGAAGAGGGAGGTCAAAAATTCCCGCTATACAGGAGGTAATAGAAACGGGCAAGAGCACGGAGCGCGGAAATCATTTCCCTTGCCTCATATGTCTACTGGTCACATTAGATGTCAAAAACGCCTTTAACTCGATTAGAAGGAAAATGACTTTAGGGTACTCGAATACCTTCTTTGGATTCTCGAGGACTACCTCAGTAACCGCTCGAACAAATACGAAACCGCAAACGGTATGCAACGAATGGAAATGCCAGAAGGGACCTCTTTAGTGGGATACGGGGACGACAGCGCGGCGATTATCATTGCGCGAACTAATAAATAGAGACAACGAAGCTGCGTCTGAACCAGGCGATGCGCCGTATCAGCTTTTGGATGAAAAACCACGGTTTCCAGTTGGCCTTAGCTAAGAGACAGAAAAGTGCGACGGACCGAAGCAGAGCGGCCGTAAAATACCTGGGTGTCAGTCTCGATTGCAAGCTCGCTTTTCGTATGAATTAAAACAGAGAGCGGACAAAGCAGCTTCTGTAACGACGAAGCCAAGCAGAGTTATGGTCAACCTAGGCGGACCTAGCGCAAGCTATAGGCGGTTGCTCATGCGCACTGCGAAGTCTAATATGCTCTACGGCGCTGAAATATGAACCGACGCTCTACGGCATGAAAAATACCGCAAGGGTTTGGCTAATGGCAGCACTCGGTATAGCATGCTCTAAGAAGTTTAGAATGTCCTAAGAAATAGCCTAGCGTTACAAATATTTTAAATTAAAATTTAGGACGGCTTAGAACCCACGTCAGAAGATTATTATTCTTTAAGACAAAAATTTATTTAAATTCCAAATCCTGTCTCAAGTTGTAAGAGATCTATGATAGAGATGATTTTATATTGAAAAATCACGTTTTCATGAAATAAAAATCGAGCCGAGTGATAAGTATTTGCATAACAAACATAGTTATAAAATCTATTTACAATACCAGTTTGCCTATAGTTTTGCTACTGAGTGTATTTGTATGTAGTTAATGTCGAGTTTAAGTATGACATAAAGTACGTAAGTAAAAATAAAAAATTAAAATAAAAGAAAAAGTGTTTATGCTTGTCGCTTATTGTATGAATGACACTCATCTCATGCTTGTTATTATAATTTTTGGAATTTTATAGCCAAAGATCGTTGATTGTTTGCCATTTCAATTAAAAAAAAAAAAAAAATAAATAAAAATATTGTGATATTTGTTCGCTGACGAAGAATTTTTAACATCAACTATAAAGAGAAATAGGATTCATTCATACACTGGTCTTATTTGAGTTGTTCGGCTGGGCTGTCTAGAAAATATGAGTAATAAATAATTTCGTATGTATAAAGAAATGCTTTCTAATTTGATAGGACGCACCTAAATACTTATTGTTAGCTAGATTTTTTTAAAGTTTTTGATAGATATTCTTAACTCATAAAAATGTATATGTATTTACAAAATAATTTTTATGGAGAAAAAATAAGTGGAAATAACAAAATCGCTGAAGGAAAAAATACCTACTTATTACTGATTAGTGTAGAATTGTGGGGTTAGTATTAGTTAGAGTAATTGACTTTGTAAGTACAAGGCAATGAAATGAAATTAGTGGCATTTTCTTAAAAAAAGATAAATCATGGCAAAAAATGAAAATGAATGACCAAAAGGTGTTAGTCTTAGCTATTAAAAAATGATTAGGGTAAAAAAAAAAATAAATAAAAATGCTAACTGTTCCTATGCAGATAGAGGAGCACGACCTTTCAGTTTTCATATCTATGGCTGCTCTGCTCTTTGAATCATTTTTATTATGGATTTTTTTTTTTGTTGTACTTTGTTTTAGTATATCTATTGTTATTTTTTATCCCATTGCATTACCCCTGCTACTGGTTAAGCAAATATACATAAGTATTAGTGCAAATATTAAATATGTGAACACAGCAAAAAATTGGCAACGATCAACACTTACTTTCTTCCTCGACATCGACACGATTCTCCAGCTCCGATGTGCTTTTCTGTCGTCGCAGTAATTTTTGTTTAGGCTGGCAGCGGGGCAGTTGTGAAGCGCAATCACCGTGCGCATTTAGTTTACAAATGCGACAGCGTAATCCCTGACGTGTGTGGCCTTTGGGTGAGGAAAAAAAAAATGGAGTTAGAAGTACAATTAAATATACACGCATGGTAGTGGAGAATGTGAAAAATTTACATACGTATATCTAATTACCTCTTAAGATTTGTGAGCAAACATCGCAGGCGGTTATCTTTTTGTACGTATACTCCTGCAAATGATGACTGCCATCCTCGTTGGGACGCAGTGGTTGTGACGATGAACCGGCGGCTCCATTGCGCCTAAATTTTCAAGGAGAAAAATACGTAATTAGTTAAAAAGGCAACGGATTTATGGTAACTAATACGCAGAACGTTCGTACAGATGGTGAGTTTTTTTTTACTAATGCGATTAGAAGATGAAGTGAGAGAAAACGAAAGGTGANGTTGTGACGATGAACCGGCGGCTCCATTGCGCCTAAATTTTCAAGGAGAAGAATACGTAATTAGTTAAAAAGGCAACGGTTTTTTGGTAACTAATACGCAGAACGTTGGTACAGATGGTGAGTTTTTTTTTTTACTAATGCGATTAGAAGATGAAGTGGGAGAAAACGAAAGGTGGGACTATATACAGGAATTTTATTGCTGACAAGTTCATAACTAAAGCGCTAGGGAAAATAGAAAACACTAAACTAGGTATACAAATATTTTAAATAAATCCTAAATTATAAAAATAATAGCTGTTATATGTACATAAGCTCGAACGTGTTGGCGATAACGTAAAATGTTAATTAAATGTAAGTGATGTGGCTATTCAATTGAAGAGTGTTGTGCACATTAGAGCGTGTCACAAATATATGATAATTCATTATCAAAACTGATATAATATATGAGTGTTTCAGGAATGTAAAATTGTTTTTTCGTTACTTTGTAGAAAGAGCGAAATCGATTTATTTTATAACTCTCACATTTGATTATCGTCTTTTAGGAGTTACCAAAGAATAATTACTCGATTATGTGAAACGACACCCTGTACTCAATGGTAACTAAAATAAAAATAGAATTTATAAAATTATTGTTGTTAATAAAAAAATTTTGTCACATGAAACGCAAACTTTTTTTGCTCGAACTATTCGTAAATCATAAAGCGGATTTATGAGAATGCTCCGATTTTGCTGTTATTATAGGGTTTTATATTTTTGAAATCCTTTCATAGCAAATATTCAAAATCGATGGTGACATTTAAGTATTCCTTATTTTCTCTTCACATACAGTCGACATAATATTTTCATATACCTATGAACATTAGGCCGTACAAGCTTACAAGAAAAAAAATATTTGTACACCACAGAGTCCAAAGTATTTTTGCAAGGTAATTTCGACTCCTTTTTGTGTCGAAATTGAGTAAGAAGGAAATAACAAAAAAAAAATACTTTTTACTGACATTAGGGTAGTATGTTAAATCGCTAGGAGCTGAGATAAGGTAGGTAAGCATCCTTACGTGGTGGTTGATGTCCGGAACAAAAAAAAATTTAAATATCATAGTTTACAATCTGACTAAAATTGCTGAATATATGATGAAAAATATAAAAGTGCAACACTCACCACCGACTAAAAACAGTTTTCTTTCTTCAAAATTTCCATGCAAAAAAACTTAAGACTTGGGTGTGTATGGCGAACTTTTATTTTCAAATACGGTTTAATTTACATACGTACATACATACATTAAACTTTTAACAGCTGCCAACTTGCGGCAGTATCATCAAAGAATAGACCAAAGAACAATATTGGCTACTGAAAGTGCTTTTGTATGCAAATGTATACGAATACGAAATTTAATGTTCAATGAATATGTTTATATATTGATAGTTATACCGATATACAATATATATATCGATAAACAAGAGGTTAAGGACATCAAAGCTGAAATGGAAAATAATTCACGAACCGATGGTTGGAGTAATATTAATAAATAAATCGATAACTAAATGGGGAGGATATTGATGATTAAAATAATAATTATATCTCTATGAATACGAATCTGGATATGGCGAAGTCGATAGATATGGTGATAAGCAATTCATCGCTCTCCGAAATTTGTAAGCTAACACAAGTACGTTGAATAGTAATCGGAAGACGTAGACCTACATCGATAAATATATCGGCAAAAATATCGATAACTATATCGTTATAAATATTGATAACTATCATCGAAAATGATGATGGTTATATCGATAAAAGTGACGTTAAGTAACTCTACTTCAGTAAGGAAAATAGTAAGTGAAATAATATTTGAAATGCGATATTAATAACTAGATCGATAAATAAATGTCGATATCGATGGTTATAATAAAATTTATGCATTTATATGTATGTAAATATACATATACATACACTGCTCCGCCGTCTGTTTGGATTCATTTGGAAGAATCGCGTTGGTTTGTATGGACGGTGTCAATGTTTAAGGACAACAGCTAAGTCTAACGTCGGCAGTGTCATGGTTGAAAACGGTCTGAAAACGATAACTAAAGCGATAAATACAAAAAAAAACAAGATTTTTTCAAGTGAGTCCAAACTCTTTGCAGGGAAGTGTATATCGATTTATATACGAAAGAGTATAGGCGAAAGATATTGCAATTAGGGGATTCACAAGACGTGTTAACCGTCGTAAAATCTTAAGCTTAAAGTTGTTTTATCTAAAACAATGGTTACAATGATTTTATAGGGGCTGATTATATATTTTTTATCAGTTTGAAAACATTTCGGTGGAGTTGGAAATCTGCTAAAACCTTTTTAATCGTTAATTTACACGATTTTACGATGGTTAACACGTCTTGCAAGTTCGACGTACTNGCTAAAACCTTTTTAATCGTTAATTTACACGATTTTACGATGGTTAACACATCTTGTAAGTCCCCTACATATCGATAAACGGATCGATTACAATATCGATAGCGGCATCGAAAATATCTATGTGATAATAACTTTGCAGTAGGAGTAAGTAAAGTAGGTATCAATTTATGAATGCACCCAGTTAAAATGTGAGAACTGCTGAATGATTCTGCGATTACTGGCAAAGGCACGTGCGATTAAGAACACCTTTGATCTCTTTGTATAGATTAAAGAACCTTCTTTTATTCGATCGTGTGAAAAGGCTATTTTGCGGCTATTATAAAAAAAATGATTAGAAATAAAACGACATACCGAGAAATTAAAAAAAAAATATATATTTTTTACTTAGAAACTTGTTGTCGTCAAAAGACAAATGTAGTTCTTATTAACCTGCATAATTCAACTGTGCACAAACATATGAACGTACTCTATATATGCACTTACGTGTACTTACTTATGTATGTATGTAGAAATTCTTGCTCGTTTGCAGGCGCCTAACTGCCTGTCACAGACGATCGATCAATTAACCCGAAAAATTAACGAGGACTTTAAAACGACGATGGATGAGCGAAGAAATAAAACAAACTGACATATTTGTAATTAAAATAGAAATACCAATGCAACAACTATAAACAATTAAAGCGCATGGAACCAAAATAAAAACAGAAACAAAATGAAAAGTAAAAAGGAAAAGTAAAAGTGAAATGAAAATGTTGAAATAAAACCAAAGCCACTGAAGCAACGGACAAGCTACGAGTATGTACGTATTGTATATATATACTGAATATGCATTGCTACGACTTATATAAAAGTGACAGCAACAACAATATCAATTGCAGCAACAACACATGCGCTGATAATTGTTAAACCGGCAAATTGGTTATCAAGTAAGAAAAAAGCCGAGTCCAGTCGAAACGTGGCGCATTGCCACCAATGCCACTGGAACACGACCAGTGCTGACCAGAAATCCACTATGGAGTAAAATTTCAGTAAGTGGCATGGTAAACAAGGCCAATGCGTTTCCGTCAACGTAAGCTTACAGTGGCAAGCACGCGAATGATGGTATGAACTAATGGATAAAAGTATCAACGAAGATATGTGTACATACATATGTATTTGTATGTATGCACATTAGACTGGGTTTGAAAATCAATCTGCAATTACCAAAATCGAATTCTCTTTTAACCTTTTTTTTATACCTCGATTTTAAAGTGTTTTGTATCGATGAGAAAATCTTTTTTATAACAAACATCCTTTTGTGATCCTGCCGACCTAGCATGTCAATTAAGTCCACTAAATTCTTATAACTCAATTTATACCCAACTGAAAACAAATTGACCCCACAGAAAATTAAGCACTTTTAGTCAGCGCTTGTATGTAGTGGTAAACTATTTATTTATTGCCACAGAAGAGGATAGGAGAATTAAGGAAATATGCTTTTATTTTGCAACAACAACTTGCGTTTTTCATTAGTTTTTTATTGTATTTTATATGAGTGCCGCGCACACGAATGGATATTTTTCGCGACCTGGTCCCAATTGTTGGCACTTTTTCTCGTTGCTGGAAAATTAATAAATAAAATATTCTCTACATAAATTAAAATCTTTGATGATAACTTCAATTTTTGCTCCATCTTCGATATTTGCAGTATACAAAAATCAGAATAAATAGCGAAGTACAAGAACAAGAATCAGAGCCGCCAAACGAATTACTAATGTGTGTCGTGGAAACAGGGTAATTCACGAATTACTTAGAGGGCGATTTACGAATCGTGGGAACATCATATTACTGTCCTGCAAGCTTGAGCTACTCACTTGCCATGGCGTATGAGTAACCATAATGTCTAATACATATCAACATCAAATTTTAGTACGGGGTTAGAATTCGGGAAACGGATCACTTTTTTCCGTTATGTCGTAGTAATAATTTTAGTTTATTGAAATTGGTAGTCCTCATTTATAAAGTCGTTTTTAATAAATATATATATTTTTTTTAAATTTGTTTTTGCATCTAAAAAATGCTGCAAAGTTTTTTTTTTAATATTATTTGAGCAAAAACTAGTTTGCCATATGACTTGAAATTTTCAGAGTTTTCGTCAGGCGCCGCTTATGTTTAGCAAAGTCATATGTTAGCTACATAGGTTGTGCTTAATTTGTATTCAAAGTAAGGTTTTCGAATTTTTTTTAGATTCAAAAGATATTTTGAAAAACAACTTTCTATTTCAATTAACATACGAACAAAAAAATTTCGATACCGCTGAAAAAGTGGTCCATTTCATGAATTCCTCCCTCTGGTCAAAATAGACATTTAAACTTTTTAGTTTACAAATTTATTTTTACACTTCAAAGGAGAAATATGAATCGCTTATCTACTGAAATGTTTAATTTTATTAAGAGTGAAGTTCTATTAAC